GAAAGAATTTTCTTTAAAGCACATGGAAAAGTCATAAAGGTAATTCTGGGGAATATTGGAGAAGGATTCTGCCTAATTTTCCCTTTTTCAGAACTGGCAAATTCAAAGTTCTTTAGAAACTTCTGATCCTTTGTGAGGACAAGTCAGGAGCACAGAAGACTGGCACAGGAGCAGATGAGATAGACATGTCCATACCACACCATAAAACACACATGCACCAGGTGTAGTGGCACATGCCTTTAACCCCAGCATTTGGGAGGCAGAGGCAGGCAGATCTCTGTGAGTTCTAGGCCAGCCTGGTTTCTAAAGTGAAGGGAGACTCTGTCTCAAAAAGACCAAAAACAAAACAAAACAAACCACATTCACACACCTGTGCACAAGAGTAAGTTAAATACAGGCAAGGATTAAAGATTAAATATTTAACCATTCTTTTGTACAGCAAGCCAAAATGTCATGAGAATAACTATACAAATTGAATGCTTAGGAGCATTTAAAATAATACATATCATATTATTCTACTGTGTACTTTACAGGTCACATGAAGAAACTGAAACGCACTACAACCCTGCCCAACTAAGGGAACCATTCAGAGCTATTCAAAGTGACTAGTATTGACAGTCTGACACCAGAATGAATGACAACCCTGATTCTACTGCTTTTTTGCCAAATTTAAAAAGCACATCTTAATAACCATTATTGTTTTACTCTTGTCAGGTTTATCATTATTGCAGTTAACCTCACATTTACTTTGGCTAGCATCCTCCTTTGAAAGTCTTTGATGTTTCAGTTGGTTTTGATTTGTCTTTTTGGTTGTGTTCCATTAATAATAAAAAATTTAAATGGTGCTTTTCAGCTTACAAAGAATTCAAATTACCATTTGTACCTTTAAACAGCTGTGGGGGATAGACATAAATGAAAAATTCTCTGTCATAAGTGAGGAAAATGAAACCTAATGAAGATAAGAGGTTTGCCCAAGGTCATAGGCATGAAGAATTAAAGAGCTAAAAAGAAGTCTTGTCTTTTGAGTTCTACAGTGTGTGTCCCATATGACATGGTACCCATCAGTACGCCCAGATGACTGCAAAGATGTATTGCCTACCCACATTAGATGTTCCTATCTTCATGTACACATTCTTGCACATGTACACACACACACACACACACACACACACACACACACACCAGCTGTCAAAGAAAAACATCAAGGAAAACTCACAATATATTATTGTGCTCTGCATCCCCTGAAAAAGGAGAGAGGCAAGAAAACCCACTACCATTACTTCTTCTCAGCAGGAATTTTGAGATTGCCTCTTCCCCCAGGTGTTTGTATATTGTTACACACATCTGATATTCTTTTGAGTGATTTGAGAGAACTACCACACCACTTTGACCACCAAAACTATCCTCAGGGACCAGAAGGAAATGAGTAGGGATAAGTCAAATGGTAAATTCTAACCAGAGCCCCTCCATAAATATTCAAGTTAAAACTGGGCAAAGTTTACTTAAATAAAGAGCCAGAGAAATGGCAGGAGGCAGACTGAAAGAGGTGGTTTGAGGGAAAGGCCAAGACTCTGAGAGGAAATAATGGAAATAAAGTCCTGCTGGGCCTTTGGAAGGCAGTTAGTCTTCTAGAAATCTTGCTGCCTTCTAGTTTTCCAGTATCTCACTAGCTCATCCTGGGTTATAGATTATTTAAATACAAACCAACACATCTAACTGCATTGTTGGAAAGACGGAGGCCAAACATGCCAGCCTATTACTAAAAACATCACCCCAAGTTTAGGGTTCAGTGATGGAATTCATTCACCTCTAAGGGTAGAATTATATCCTAATTAACTCCTATCTGGAATGGATTAATAGTTCCAGCTCTCTGGTGAGTACTTTAAAGATACTGAATGTTAGAACCAGGCAGGATTTCAAATAAAAGTAATTCCTAATTGTAACAAATGAAGAACTTGAAGAGATTTGTTCAACTATTTATATCTAGACAAGAACTAAAGTCTAAGTACCAGTCTTGGAGGGAAAAAAAACAGTAGTATGTGTAGTCTGCTGTAATTTGTGTTTTAAAGTATATATCATATTGCATATTTGCAAACTAGCTCTGGAAAAATATGCAGAAGTAGTGAGAAAGCTGCTACTTCAAAAATAAGAAATCTTAAAGAACAAAAGTAGGTAGGGAATTTACTTTTTTCTCAATGTCTTTGCTACTCATTAAAGATGTGCACGTGTCATTCCTACTAAAACAATGGAGCTCCTTGGTAGGGCTTACTGACTGTGACCTGGTATTGTTTCTAGTAAGAATTCAATAAATCATTGTTAAATATTTAGAGCAGTTGTTCTTTTTCCACCTAAAATAAATTTACTATTCATGAATATAAATCAGTATTCATTTAGAAGGGCAGAAAATAAGTGCTTTCTATCTGCTTCCACTTACCAGTACACATTATTCAGAGAACGCTTGAAATAAAGTTCTTCACAACTTTGCTGATTTGAGAAATGGAGAAAGCTCTATAATTCATTTTCATGGCCAATGTTATTTCATTTATTTCCTGGAGAAAAGATAAATTAGTTAATATATTATAGAAAAACTAGAAAGCAATGAATGTTTTCTTAGTATGTTGTTGTTGTTGTTGTTGTTTTATTAACAATCCTTCTGTATCCTGTTCAACTCCTGGCATTGCCCTTGAATAAGATTTCTCAAATTCATTGTGCATTGTCTAAGAAGTGGAAAACTATGATCCAAAATTAAGTTAGGCAGAAGAAAATAAACTCCCATGAAAGGGAGGTTAAATTACGAGTAGACAAGTTTCTTCAAGATATTCCAGGAGATAGTTACATTAAAGATTATGTGACTTTTGCTACTTCTCATTCTCCAGCATTATGGCGTTCTATAAGGATTCGGATTTTCATTAAGTCCTTTAATAAGGTGTGACAGACAGACAGCCACATAGGGCCAGCACAGTAGGCCGGGGCGAGGAGGGGGACGGGGGGACGGGCGGGGGGACGACAGGACGACACAGGACGGGGACTGAAGACTTCCTAGTGTGCCAAGTCTGCCCTCTAGTGTCCATTTGCTCACATTGCATTTTCCTGGGCTTTGCCTCTTTAGCCTACAGTGTTTCTAAGCAGCTGTCTTCTCAAATTGGTTTTTATAAACAGATTAGCCCCATTTATATTTATTCTGCTAATTGTTGACTTGCGAAGAGCGCTATTAAATATCTTAGAGTCGAGTGTGGTGGCACACGCCTTTAATCCCAGCACTCGGGAGGCAGAGGCAGGCAAATCTCTGTGAGTTCAAGGCCAGCCTGGTCTACATAGCAAGGCCTACATAGCAAGTTCCAGGCCACCTGGGGCTACAAGGAGACCCTGTCTCAAAAAGACAAAAAAAATAAAATAAAATAAGTAAATAAATAGCTTAGAAACAATTTGTTCTTGTGAATAGTCAAACATCTCCCTCTATCTTATTTATACAACTGAATTGCTTTGTAAACTTTCATAAAACTTCAAAGATAAATTTTAATGTACTTCAAGGTCCAATTTCCAAAATTATAAACTAACGACTTCATAGTATGTAAGTAGAAGAAGTAAAAGTACATAATTATGAGAATGATTTTTTGTTTTCAGTATGCTTTGGGGTCTTGTTGTCTGTTTGGGTTTGTTTGTTTGTTTGTTTTTAAACAAGGTCTCCCTAGTCCCAGTCTTCCTGGAAGTCACTATATGGACCAGGCTGGCCTCAATCTCACAGAAATCCACCTGCCTCTGCCTCCTGAGGGCTGGGATTAAAGGCACATGCCACCTGGCCCGGCATTATAATGATTTTTAAAATAATCTTTTGGATCTATCAAAGGGAGTACCTTCTCTCCAATTCACAAGAATTCTGTAGTTTGGGGGTATTGTTTTACCCTTACTATACATTTACATTTATGTGTATTTATGACACATCAAATCATCCAAAAACCAATTATCAGATGAGAAATTTTCCAGGCAAAAAAAAACCTGCAAGTTTTCAACTTTTTCTATTTAGAAGTCCAGCATCTACTAACAAAGCCTAATGGCCACCATTTGGAGGAATCCACCACATCTGTGTAAAGTTGGAGCACTCAAAGTAAAGATGCATTAAAGAGACAAAACCCAGTTTCTTTCCTCCAAATATAAGCATTCAGTATAGTGCCTTCCATGTTCAACCAGAACTAAAGGTTGTTGCCCTGTCATCCTCAATTCATGGCTTTTACCATATGCTCCAAGGTGTCTGACCCACTTCCAGGGACAGCAGCACTCCAACCATCAGGAAGGAAGCAGAAGAACATGTCTACACATTCTTGGGGTCTTTAGGAATTACCACCCATTACAACCACCTTCAGTTGGCAGAACACTGTCACATCACGAACACCTAATTAAATGTCATCATTCTGGGCTGCTCTAGCTTGACATGAAAATCAGGTGTTCCAATATAATAGGGAAATTGCAGAATTGATACTTTAGATAACTAGCAGTCTGTGTTAGAACCTATAGTCTTTTTTAACATTTTATTTATTATTTTTATTTTATGTGTATGAGTGCATTGCCTGCATGTATGTAAGTGCACCCATGTCTTACAATACCTTTGGAGGTCAGAAGAGGGCATCAGATCCCCTGCAACTGGAGTTGTGGATGGTTGTTAGCCATTATATGGGTACTTGGAACTGAACCTGGGTCCTCTGCAAGAGCAGTCTGTATTCTAAACAACTGAGCCATCTCTCCAGCCCTGAGCCTGTATTCTTATCAGTAGCCTTTATTTGACAGACTCAAATCCTCTGGCCTTTGCTTGATTTTTTTTTCAAATATTTTTGGTTTGTTTGTTTAATCCGTATTAAAAAGTAGCATCTTTGTTTAGTTGCCCTTCTGTTCATAAAGTTCTCATGATAAAGACTGTGAATTTTCCCATTGTGCCATCTTCTGTCTAAGTAGACACCAGTTCCTGATCTGGTCCTCATCATGTTGGTGTGTTCCTTCCTCCACAGATGATGGCTGTGCCACCCAGTCCTCTGCATCTGCTGGGAATACTGCTCACCATTTCCCTGAGCTCCATCAGGTTCATTCAGGCGGGTGCCTATTATGGAATCAAGCCGTTGCCGCCTCAAATTCCTCCTCAGATACCACCACAAATTCCACAATACCAGCCCCTGGGCCAGCAAGTACCTCACATTCCTTTGGGCAAAGATGGCCTTGCCATGGGCAAGGAGCTGCCCCACATGCAGTATGGCAAAGAGTATCCACACCTACCCCAATATATGAAGGAAATTCAACCTGTGCCAAGAATGGGCAAGGAAGTGGTACCCAAGAAAGGCAAAGGTAACAGCATACTTGCACATTATTTCAAAACAGCAGTTCTCCATCCTCCTAAACTATAGAGGTTGAAAAGGGAACTATGCTTCAAATTTTTTGTTTTATAATTTGCTATTGCCATGTATTAAATGCCATTCTTGCAAAGTTAAAATTTTAAAGAAAGATACAGGGGTTTGATCCTCAGCATCACAAAAAGGAAGATAAAATTATAATTTTATGATTGGTTTTATTATTTTAGCTAACATCAGATTGGTTGAACATATTTAATCACAGTCTATCCAATATATACATATTTATTCATTTAAACATTCAGAATGTTCAATTAAAATTCATTTAAAGCTGGGCATGGTGGCGCACACCTTTAGTCCCATCACTTGGGAGGCAGAGGCAAGAGGATCTGTGAGTTCAAGCCCTGCCTGGTCTACATAGTAAATTCCAGGCCAGCTGGGGCTACAGGAAGACCCTGTCTCAAACCAAAAAGTAAAAAATAAAATTCATTTAAAAATTTATTCAGAAGCTATCTAGTGAGCACCTGTTGGGCAGTTAGACTTTGGGCCTGATGCAGGGAACAGGGAAATAAAGCTGTGTGGTAAATGAAAGGGGACAAGTCAGTCTTCTGAACTCAGAAAGCAATGTCGTAAGAAACTGATATGTTAGAAGAAAAAATACATGAAAACATTTCACAAACCAGGTGTTAGTTATACATGTTTTCAATACCACTCTAATTAAACTACACCTCGGTCAATAAAACAGCACAAGATTTAAAAAAAAAAATCCACAGACTGCAACTACAGATGACACCTGAAAAATATTCCCATTACTTTCTAGGAATGCTCATTAGGTCTGTAACACCTACAAAGTGCCTATTACTGTGAGATATTTTCCTGTAAATTCAGTTTGCTTACCTGGAGTTCTCAGAGACATAGCATTAGTGGGGAAAACAGGAACATCAGAGTAGAGCCCCATGGAGGAAGTGGAGGTCATTGCCACTGGTCCTCACAATGGCAGAAAGCTCCACTCTAGAGAACTACTCAGTTTAACATTAAGAAGCCTAGATACTCAGAACCCAGAAATCAAAGAGCCTTATTCATTCACATCCTTGAGACTATTATTCATCTTTAAGATTTTTGGGAGAATCAGTAACATAAGGTAAGTGGTGCTGAGTAAACACTAAAGCACTGAAGAAACTTTGAGTGGTTGCAGCTGATGCTAATTCCACAGACCCTCAGGTAGCGTGTGTTCCAGATTCTATACTAGATACCAGGGATCCCTGACCAATAAGAAGTGACCCTTTGGCCCAGGGTGGTGGTATATGCCTTTATTCAGGAAACTGGGGCAGGAAGCTCGTGAATCCCAGGCCAGTCTGGGCTCCATAGCAAGAGGCTGTCTCTTTCCCCAGATTCTCCATTGACTGCAATATGCCTCTTAGTCCTATAACAGTGTGTGCTAGTGTAAGTATTCCCATTTTCTTCTCTCAATGGGAACTGGTATACCATTTAGGGAATCATCTAGGTCTTTTTTCCTTCCTTTCTTGCATAGCCTGCCTGGCTTTTGTTATGTCTTTCAGATAGTTATTCCTGTCTGAAAGGAAAGGGACTTCTATGGTTCTGTTTCCTGACAGCTCTGCAAAAAGTACAATGGTCAGAATTAAGATGCTACTTCCAGTTAAAAAGAAGACTTTGGGGCCATAAACTTCATTTCTTCATATACCCCACTATTCCCAGTAGCATGGAATATCCCCAGCTGTGTTGTTTGTGAGGCATAGCATACTCTCACATGTGCTCTGTGTTTCAATAACAAGGTGTAATACCTTTCCTATCTACTCTCTAGTCATGGAATGTGGCTGTATTATTCCTGTTCCAAAACCAAGATTTCTTCCTTAGCTAAACTGCATGTCACCCTAAAATATCTTATTCACCTTGTCTAATTAAAATCCAAATATGTATGAGAAGTACTATTTATTCAAGAATTAAAATTTGAGGTTTGAGAAATCCTATAGCACATTAGGGAAATTAAGTAAATCTATTGGCTCTAGAAGACAGATGTGAAAAGATGTTCTCAAACCACACACAAAATAAAATGCTTTCCTCTTTCCTGAGTCCACATGATAATGGTTTTCATCACCCACATCACACAGTATTTCAGCACCTGAGGAAACATTATTTAGTCCTAAATTATTATATTGAAAAATAACATAAACCAGTCAGGCACAGAAAGACCACATATTCTTATTTACATGAAGCATTATAAAAGAACTAAAGAAGCACAGAGTAAATGTTTGTCAGCAGTTGCTAAGGTGATTAAGGAGATGAAAGGGTAGAGGCCTTGGAAAAGAATGACCCAGCAGCACAAATCGTTCAGCAGGCAGTGAAAATACGATTTTTCTTTTTTTTCTTTTTTAGAGCTATTAGAAAATGTGGTAACTACAGTTACTAATATCTTATACAGTTAGTAATATGCTATACATTTAAAAGTCATTTCAATTGTTGCCCCCATAAAAATAAGTATTCAAGGTGATGGAAATGTTAATTAGCTTGATTCAAGTAATCCCACATTTTGTTAACAAATTGTACCATCACTTTGTAACCCATAAATATATACTATATGATTTGTCGATTTGTTTTCTATATTTTTTTTTATTTTTTATGTGTTAAGTATATTGCTTGCATGTATGTATGTTATATAATGCCTGAGGAGGTCAGAAGAGGGGGACAGATCCCCTGGTACTGAAGTTACAGATAGGTTGTTAGCCACCATGTGGGTGCTGGGAACTGAACCCAAACCTTCTGCAAGAGCAGCTAGTGCTCTTAACCACTGAGCCATATCTCCATCCTCTAATTTGTCAATTTATAATAAAAAATTTTAATTGATCAAAAGGACAAGGAAAATACTATAAAAGTTTAAGTAGAAAAATGTTTAAAAATAGAAACAGAAAAATACTCCAAAATTATTTAAAAGGTACTCAAATGCATATCTGAAACAATGAACTGAAAATGCCATTAAATGTTAAGTGTCTATTTCTGTTAAGTGGGCAATGATGATATTTTTTTTCCTTGTACAGTTGTAATGACTACACCATAGTATATTCAAGTTTTGCACTAGGAAAATTTTTTGTGTCATTTTTCAGCTCTTTCAACTTAACAAGTGCTGTGACACGGGTGCACTTACCTACTACATGCAGGCATAACACTCATACACATAAAATAAAGATAATAAAATATTTGAAAAAAAGTGCTGATATAAGCAGCTGCACAGAACTGTTCTCAAAACACTTCACATGACAGAAATTGCCAGCTTGGTTCCTTAAGTAGCGATACCGTATAAGGGAAGGCCGGGAAAGATGAACATATTATTCCTAGCCTCCCCATTTGATACACAATAGGCAAATGTTTCAGAATTAAATGATGGTCATTACTTACTTGATGTCTCCCCTGACTTCTCCACTTTTCCAGCAGAAATACCCTTAGCCAATTTGCGAGGAGAACAAGGTCCCCGTGGAGAACCTGGCCCAAGAGGACCACCTGGGCCACCAGGTTTGCCAGGTCATGGAATACCTGGAATCAAAGGAAAACCAGGGCCACAGGGATATCCAGGAGTTGGAAAGCCAGGTATGCCTGGAATGCCTGGGAAGCCAGGAGCCATGGGAATGCCTGGGGCAAAAGGCGAAATTGGACCGAAAGGGGAAATTGGGCCTATGGGGATTCCAGGACCACAAGGACCTCCAGGGCCTCATGGACTTCCTGGCATTGGGAAGCCAGGTGGGCCAGGGTTGCCAGGGCAACCAGGAGCAAAGGGTGATAGAGGACCCACAGGACCACCAGGACCTCCAGGCCTTCAGGGTCCTAAAGGAGAGAAGGGTTTCGGGATGCCAGGTTTGCCAGGTCTGAAGGGTCCCCCAGGTATGCATGGTCCACCTGGCCCAGTTGGACTGCCAGGAGTTGGAAAACCAGGAGTGACAGGCTTTCCTGGGCCCCAGGGTCCGCTGGGGAAGCCAGGGCCCCCAGGAGAACCTGGCCCACAAGGCCCCATTGGAGTACCAGGAGTTCAAGGACCTCCTGGGATGCCGGGAGTTGGAAAGCCAGGCCAGGATGGGATCCCTGGCCAGCCAGGATTTCCAGGTGGCAAAGGAGAACAAGGACTACCAGGGTTGCCTGGACCCCCAGGTCTCCCAGGGATCGGAAAGCCAGGCTTCCCAGGACCCAAAGGAGACCGGGGTGTAGGGGGTGTTCCTGGGGCTCTTGGGCCAAGAGGGGAAAAAGGACCAGTAGGTGCCCCTGGACTGGGGGGTCCCCCTGGAGAGCCAGGCCTGCCTGGAATCCCAGGTCCCATGGGCCCTCCAGGTGCTATTGGTTTTCCTGGTCCCAAAGGAGAAGGTGGGGTTGTGGGGCCACAGGGCCCACAGGGTCCCAAGGGTGAGCCAGGACTCCAAGGCTTCCCAGGAAAACCGGGTTTTCTTGGTGAAGTGGGCCCCCCTGGTATGAGAGGTCTGCCAGGTCCCATAGGGCCCAAGGGGGAAGCTGGCCACAAAGGGCTGCCAGGGCTCCCTGGTGTACCGGGGCTGCTTGGACCCAAGGGAGAGCCAGGCATACCAGGGGATCAAGGTCTACAGGGACCCCGAGGTATCCCCGGGATTGCAGGCCCTAGTGGACCCATTGGACCACCTGGGATTCCAGGACCCAAAGGAGAGCCGGGCCTTCCAGGGCCCCCTGGATTCCCTGGTGTAGGGAAGCCAGGAATAGCAGGACTTCATGGTCCCCCAGGGAAGCCTGGTGCCCTTGGGCCTCAAGGCCAGCCTGGTCTTCCTGGGCCCCCAGGCCCTCCAGGGCCCCCAGGACCCCCTGCTGTGATGCCCCCTACACCACCGCCCCAGGGAGAGTATCTGCCAGATATGGGGCTAGGAATTGACGGTGTGAAACCTCCACATGGCTACGCGGGCAAGAAGGGCAAGAACGGAGGGCCAGCCTATGAGATGCCAGCATTTACTGCCGAGCTGACAGCACCTTTCCCACCTGTGGGGGCCCCAGTGAAGTTCGACAAGCTTCTATACAACGGCAGACAGAACTACAACCCTCAGACAGGCATCTTCACATGTGAAGTCCCTGGTGTCTACTACTTTGCATACCACGTTCACTGCAAGGGGGGCAACGTGTGGGTTGCACTGTTCAAGAACAACGAGCCCATGATGTACACGTACGATGAGTACAAAAAGGGCTTTCTGGACCAGGCATCTGGGAGTGCCGTGCTGCTGCTCCGGCCCGGAGACCGGGTGTTCCTCCAAATGCCCTCAGAACAGGCTGCGGGACTGTATGCTGGACAATATGTCCACTCTTCTTTTTCAGGATATTTATTATATCCCATGTAGAGAAAGAAGGAAGGAAGGAAGGAAGGAAGGAAGGAAGGAAGGAAGGAAGGAAGGAAGGAAGGAAGGAAAGGGTCATAGAGATTTAATAGAAGAAAGTGACATAAAAAACTTCCAAATGAAAACAAACGTCTCAAAACATTTATATGGTTGGAAAATTATATTTAAGTGAAAATTTGGACCATCGTGTACAAATAAAAACTAAGAATCATGTTTAATGATGTGCACCACAGGTTGTAATAGAGAATGATGGAACAGATTTATATATCAAGTACTGACACTTGTGTTGTACCCACTGGACTCATAGTAGCTGTTGCATGTTGTATGCTTCCATAACCTGCTTATTCAGGTCAGTCAAAAGGTGTTAGTCTGAAAGTTCATAGCTAATGAAAGTCATTCACTCATATCGCCTCCTTTGGAAAATATTTATAAATATGCCTTGAGATGTCAGTGATGACAGTTACATACCGTATTTACATGCACAGTTTCCTCTATTTGTGCAGGTGCTTTGCCATGGGATGTTAGAGGGGAGTTCTTCAGGGTTACTATCCCAATGGAAGGGGGCTACAGAGACCATGATCATCTCTAGTCCATGGATAATTCTCATGCCAACAGCTGGCAGTTCTAATGAGAATGGTGTGCATGTGGTCTCCTCAAAAGAGCAGGTGCACCAATGGCCCCTCATGTATCTTCTCAGCACCCTCTCTGCTGAGCACTGAATGGGATGCTAGTGTGGGGCATAGAACAGAGGTCACAGGGGCTCACAACCCAGCTCAGAGACCTTAACAGATTAACTGATCTAGTCCCAAGTTTCCATTTTGGGTGTTTTTCTGTAACTTGATTTTCTTTTATTTTTCTTCCCTTCACGTAATTTATGATATGATCCAACCTATGTAAACACCTGGAGTTACAAACTAAAAAAAATTCCCCCAATAACTTTGCAGTTTTGTGGAACATTCATTATTAATTGTCAATTCTGTTTACATGAATTTAAAATCCCCCTACTTTACCCACACATACAATCACAGTGAAGTTTCAGTATTTCAATATGTGTTTTAGTAGCTGTGATTTTTCCCCCCAGTAACCATGAATTTTACAGAAATGTTTCATGTCATCTGAGATTCCAAAGCCAATTTTCAAAATCCAAGCCATTTTTTCAAATTTGGGAAAACATTCAGAATTACATAAGAAAAGAAATCTGTATTTTAAAGGAGTAATTATGAAGTTTTACATTTAAAAGCAGGTGTGTTGCTTCCAGATATAGGGACTAAAATTGTAGGAAAATAACTGTCTAACAGCAACCCAAAGAAGAGTTACCTGAAATGCCACAGAGCAATGGCAGCCCATGCCTTTTACATAGCCCCACAGAAGTCAAAGCAGGTTTAAAGGAAGAAACAAATATTTTCCAGATTTCCACTGAGGTACATACTAAATGCTTTGGGCATTGCACAAAACACAAACTATTGACAATCTGTCATTAGCCTGCTGCTGACACATTAGCCACTTGGGGAAATAATGTTGGGCTATGGTGGTGGTAGACTCTTATATATTTTCCTCAAAAATTATGAGTCACGAGTTGAAGCAATAGATACAGATAGGAAAATGCACAAATAAATATGGTATAAAACATGAAACTCTCTATGTCAAATCTGAATTATTTTTACCACACAAAAATATTTCTCTTGGCTTAATAGTTATCTTTTCTCTATATGATACATAAGCTCCATTCTCAGTTTTTAAGAGAAATGAGTTCATACCACAAGGTTTCTTATTCAATGTTAATTGAATAAAGCACTTTTCTCATCCAAAAGATGTCCTACCCAACCTCCATTTACAAAATAAACAGCATTTATGCGGCCAACTATCCTTTGATTGGTCTTGATCCTAATTTGGATTTGGTGACTATAGAGATCACATACATGGGTCCTGAGCTCTTTCTGCTAAATAGCTACATTGAAATGGCTTGGAGACAAATCAAACCGGGTGAATTGTAAAATTGTTTTTATATGTACATGTATGGGCTTTTAGTTTCCATCAAGCAAGAGAGAAATTATCTCTTGAGTTAAACCAAATTTCACTTTTTGAAATATCTTCCAACTTATTTATTGGTTGTTACTCAATTGCCTATATATATATATGTGTATGTATGTGTGTATGTATATTATCAGGCATATGCTTCTAACTTTTAGATGGAGAAGGAGCAAAGTCTATGCCAGATACTGTGTATTCTACCATGGTGCTAATCTCAGAGCTAAATGATACTCCATTTAATTTAAAGAAGAGTTTTAAATAATTATCTATGTACCTGTGTTTCCCTTTTGAGTGTTGCACATGTTAACATGTCAGTGTGAAAGCAGATGAAACCGTTATAAGTTCTAAAGTCTAGGGATAGTACTATGATCCCTATCTAATTCAAAATTAACTAGAGTTTTTCCATGTGAAATGGACCAAACTGACATTATCCTTATTTAAACACAGAGTTTTAAAGCAGTATGACATCCCCCAGGGGAGAAGAACGTCTGTAGAGGATGACTGTCCTCAAATATTTTACAGAATACAAAGAATGATGAATAGACTGGTAACTTGCTTGAGTTTCCATGAATAGATCTGAGACTTAATGGCAAATCAATTTTGTATTTAAATTTTTGTACTGATTTGGAAAAAGTTATTAAATATCTTTAAAAGTATGTTTCTTATTTATATCATTCAACTGACACTGTATAAACCTAAGATTTTTTTAAATCTCACATTGTAGTAATTAGCTGCTGTACTAGAGTCCGAAAATAATCATAGCTTAACCAGAACAACTTATTCCTCTTTGATGTAACACCTCTGAATATTAGCAGTCCAAGACTCCTCTGTAGCCCCACTCAGTACCCCAGGTTCCTTCTCTCTTCTTGATTTTCCATTCAAGTATGTTGCTTTCCTCTCCTTTGGCAGAGCATTACTGACTGTGGTATTCACATTCTAGCCCGTGTGAGGGTAGAAAAAGAAACAGGAAGTAGAGGGATGGTTTTTAACTTAAAAAAAAAAGAAATTCAACCCACCAAATGCTTAGGGCATTCCCTCCACACCCATTCCCCTGAATTTATTCAGATTGCCATAACAAGCTGCTAGACAGTTTGGGAAATTATTTATTCTGGATAACCTGCCTAGTTAAAAATCAGGAGTTCTGTTCAGAAGAGAGAAGGAAGAACAAATGTTAACTGCTGTATCTGTCATATCCATTAGCACAGAAAAAAACTGCCACAGACCTCTGTTCTCTCATGAGAAACCAGTCTTAAAATGTCCCAGTCTATTTGCACACTACAGCCAATATTTTCAGGGAAAACAGTGGTGAGTGGAATTACCAGGCAGAAATAGCTATGCTTTAATAGCTATTAAGGTCTTAATGAGCACCACTGGCAAGGAAAGTATTCTTTTGTGATGCCTTATCAAGTTCTAAATTATCATAACTTATCATATCTAGACTATGATAAAAGGATTATTCAAATCATTCAAGGAGCAAGTATATAGCACCAGTCTGAATGATTAACTTGTTGGAACCATCATGTGATCAAGATCATAGCTTTCATTCTCACAAAGCTCAACTAGGTCTGTTTCATTCTACAACTGAAGACGTTGTCATCATGTTTCCTGATTGTCAGGGATGGCATCAGGTGCTTCCAGCTTGTTGGCCTCTTATTCAAAGGACTGAAATAAAAGCTCATAGAATTTTGCAAATATTATTCAAAAGTAACAATACAGATAAATGCATTGTCAGTAATGATAGCATGCCACATGAGTGAAAAAGTACTCAAGGACCTCAATTATTGTTTGGCGATTCCTTTTATAAAGTTCAAGAGAAAGAGGAGTTTAGTTGCTAAGGGGGTAATAGTGAGGATGGTTTTCTGTTTTGAGTGGTGGATTATTCACATAATCATCTTTCTATTATAAATTGTAAATTTCTCTTTCCACAATGTATCTGATTTCAAACATATGAGCACCCAATTATGCATGGGCATATGATGAAAACTTGGGGGTTCTCTCTAAAAGTTTATTTGAGAACACAGTTTTGTTTTGCTACACATGCACTAAAAACCAGTTCAAGCTAGATCAACCCTTCCATTCTTTGTACCTGGATATATTGAGAGGGAATTTTGTTTGTTTGTTTTTCTGGGTTTTTTTGTTTTGTTTTGTTTTTTGTTTTGTTTTTTGTTGTTTTGTTTAGTTTTTGTCTTTTGAGACAGAGTCTTTTTGTAGACCCAGCTGGCCTGTAACTCACTATGTAGACCACCAGGCTGGCCTTGATCTCACAGAGATCCACCTGCCTCTGCTTCTCAAGTGTTGAGGTTAAAGGCGTTGTGCCACCATGCCTTGGAAATATATTTGAATAGAAATTAAGTTCTATTGTTGTTAAGGGAGGAGAAACATCTCATTGCTTATTGAATTGAGTGTATGGCCAGATGGAGGTGGAGATCAAAGGCACTAGGTACATTGTTCAGAGGGTATGTGTATAGTGCATGCAAAGAGCTAGGTTGGCAAGTACATTATTAGCAGAGGGGAGGGTGTTCATAACCCAAACCAAGTAGAATCTCAGATTGCTAAATTATTCCCTATGTTTGCCTGCCTCAAATTCCGCTCCAACGACTTTTCTCCCTAATTAATGAGGAGAGCTGAAATGAAGAAGGTCAGTCTTCTTAAAAATGCTCTGTACTGAGTTGAAGAAAAATGATCTCTCAAGGACGTTATGGGGAGTAGTTTTCAACTGAATGTGAGGCTAGACCAAGTGGCAGGAGACTCCCTTCTAGCTTTAGCATGTCATGATTATACAGACTACTGTGAAATCATATTTAATTTCAGATCCCTTTTTGGAAGTGATTTTTAAAATAAAGGTTGAATTTGAATGGAGGAATCTCAAAGGTATGTCAAGAGGAATACCATCTCCTAATGGAGAGGAGAAAGTGTGTGTGTGTGTGTGTGTGTGTGTGTGTGTGTGTGTGTGTGTGCATGTATTCACTAGGTAGGACGCTGGGGAAGAGAATACTGAGATTAAGGAAATACCTGACAATAGATCAAAGTATCTATTCAAAGATGAGTAAATGAAACAGATTTTATAACTAAAGAAAAGTTAAGTGGTATATGCCTTGATACAGGAGAGAGATATTTCTATTTCATCTGATATGAAATAAGAATAAAATATTGCAGATGCTGAAGTGGGAAAGTGGCATAAAAATAAATATTTCACAAGATTATGTTGATGATTCTATGAAATCAATACTAGGGAAAGGAAGAAACAAGTAGTAAGACTAATAAGAAAGGAACAGCTTTCATCCAGACAAGAGACAATAGTGCTACTAAAGGGTCCAAAACAAGCTTCAGGTATAAAGAGGGAGGGCAGGTTTCCAGGTTTAATGTTTTAGGACCAAGGAACTCTTTCAGGGACTAGGAACTGAAATGAAGACCAATGAGGAAGCTGGAGAGACAAGTAAAAGATAGAAATGAACTTAGGGACAATATTTGATAGTTGTATAAAAAGAAAGAGGGAAGCTTGCTCCCAAAACAGTTTCCTCCAAACATGGTGTCAGTGATGGAATTGGATAGCCTGCTAGCTGAGTTCACTCCAGGTAGGAGGAAAGAGAAGATATCTAGTTTATGTATAGATTTATTGAGTTTGACCTGATCAAATTTGACCTGATAGGTTTATTTGTTTGCTAAGGCCACTGTAATAACAGTATTCCATACTGGATTGGTGTCTCTGTTCTTTTTTATGGCTGTGATAAAATACACTGCCAAAAACAATGTAAGGAAGGAAGAGTTTATTTGGGCTCACAATTAGAAATACAGACTATCACTGGTGGGGAAATCTAGGCAGCAGGAGCTTGAATTAATTGATCATATTGTGTCCATAGTCAGGAAGAAGAAAGTAATGAATATTTATGCTCATCTCACTTTCTCCTTTTCATATAGTCTAGGATCTTATCCCAGGAAATGATATACCCACTGTTGACAGGTATTACCATACCACCTCAACTAATCTAATCAAGATACACACACCCCACAGGCAAAGCCAGAGGCCCATCTCTTTGGTTATTCTAGATCTTATCAAGTTGACAATTGAGATTAATTACCACACTTTCACCCCTTGTCAAATTTACACCCAAGCATATCAGTTTAAATAATAACCTTCCACCTTCTGTACTCAAAGTCTCATGCCCATCTCATAACACAAAATAAAACCCAACTTCAAAGTCTCCATAGACAATAATAATTCCAACAATTTAAAACTCCAAAATCAGCCAGGCATGGTGGCACATGCTTAATCCCAGCACTTGGGAGGCAGAGGCAGGTGGCTCTCTGTGAGTTCAAGGCCAGCCTGGTCTTACATAGTGTGTTCCAGGCCAGTTAAGACTACAGAAGCTGGGGCTACAGGGAGACCCTGTCTCAAAAAGACCAATAAGTAAATAAATAAATAAATAAATAAATAAATAAATAAATAAATAAAGTCCAAAATCAAAAGAGGAAAAAATGAAGTCCAAAGCCCACATATTTTCTGAGAATCAGGGCAATCTGTGAACTTCTATAAAATAAAAACTAATTACATACTACCAACTTAGAATAGCACAGAATAAACTTTCCCAATTCCAAAATGGCAGAAATGAGGCATAAAAAGAACTTATCAGATTAAAGAAGACCAAAATCCAGCAGGGCTAACACAGTTCCTACAGCTCTGTGTTCAGCTGGGACTTGTGATGAAATTGGCTGTGCTCCAAAGAGCTTAGGTGGTTCCATCCCTCCAGCTCAGACATGTGCACCACACGCTGCCACCTGCAGCACCCATATCTTCTCTCATATGCTGGTACGACTCCATTCCGTCACCTTTCCTTAGTAGACATTCCATGGTCCCAACATCCTGAGGTCTTCATTGCAACTTAGGTGTCACCTTCACAGCTTCACACAATGTTCTCGCCAGGCCTCTTTGCAAGTTTGGGACCCTGTCATACTTTTTCTGGCTTCTGATGCTCTCTGAAACCATGGAGACTAAGTCTATAATCCCCTAAATATTGTATCTTCCTACAAAACCAGTACCACATGTATGACATTTCCAAGTTCTGTTGCTACCATGAGATATAGCTTGTCCCCCTTGGACCACAGCTTTATCAACTTCTGTGTGCTGACCCTGGGGAAATACTTCCCTAGACCCTTGTCTTAGAGGAGCAAGGAACCCCTTCAGTTTAGGCTTTCTTCCTTCACTGAATTTGTACTTTCATAAAATTGAGTTTCATATGGTGGGGTTTTGCCATAGGGACAAATTTCCTTTTGTCCCAGTACAGTGCATAAGGTTTATCATCAGTGATATGGATACTAACAACTATTATAGTTGCTTTCTCAACACCAGCCTGAATGCTCACCTGTCTTGAAATTTCCGTTACCAAACAAATGGACTGACATTATAATTAAATTCAACTTAACTCAACTTCTCAGGACATGTGCAGAATAATACTAGATTCTTGACCAAAACATCGTATGGATGGGCCCCGTTCCATTCCTTTTTCCCTCTGAAAGCTTATGAGCTTATCCTCTACAGTCTGTATTGCTGTCAGCATTCTTGTCATACAAGTTACCACCAGAATGGCCCACTAAGCAATACTTACATTACTCAAGGACTTTCTAGTCCAAAATTTCAAATTCTTCCAA